CATCAGAATTAACCGGTATTGGTAGCTCCTCTCCATCCATTCTTGTGAGAATAGTGCCCCACCAGAGAATGCTTTTTACCACAAAGGCCTTCATATTTGGGGTCCATTGCCTCTATGATCTTTTGTGTATGGGAATCTTTTCAAACCATACTCCCTTCATGAAATCTCTTGGGTGCACCTTTTTGTCAAAACCTTTTCATTCTTCTTTGGTACAATTGCCATGACACTACTGCAGTTACCTTTTTTCTCAATGAGATTGAGCTGTCGAAACGAGCTTGAACCCACTCAGCTTCCTCTAATTGGGTTTCCATTAAACTCGTAAGGACGGAATTTCCACCTCAATGGAAGTACTGCTTCCATCCATAACAAGCGAGAAAGGGTTGCCCGTCGATGTTCGTTACCGAGTGCGGTATCCATGTAAGCAAAAGGAAGCATTTCGTGCCAATCTTTATAGTGACCACCATCTTTTGCACAATTTTCTTGATGTTCTTATTGGCAGCCTCTACCGCCCCATTCATCTTTGGACGATAAGGAGAAGAATTATGATGATGAATCTTGAATTCCTCACATAACTCTGCCATCATCTGGTTGTTCAGATTAGTACGTTATCAGTGATGATTCTGTTAGGGAGCCCGTATCTACAGATCAATTCCCTTTTTATGAATCTGGTCACCACCTTTCTAGTCACATTAGCGTAAGAAGCAGCTTCCACCCATTTGGTGAAGTAATCAATTGCGACCAGTATGAAACGATGTCCGTTCGACGCCTTTGGCTCTATAGCTCCAATGACATCTATCCCCCACATCGAAAATGGCCATGGTGCAGACAACACGCTTAGAGTCGTAGGTGGCATATTGATAATATCTGCATACTTCTGACATTTCTCGCATTTTCTCACATGTATGAAACAATCACTTTCCATGGTCAGCCAAAAATAACCAACTCTCAATATCTTCCTGGCCATCGAGTGTCCATTCATGTGCGTGCCAAAGGTACCCCCATGCACTTCTTTCAATATCAGCTCGACCTCCTTTGCATCCACGCATCTGAGGAGGACCATGCCATGATTTCTCTTGTATAAAATATCCCCACTCAAAATAAAATTGCCCGCCAATCTCCTTAGCGACCTTTTATCATTTTTGGATGCTTTCTCAGGGTATTCTCGGGTTCTAAGATAATGCTTGATATCGAAATACCAAGGTTTACCGTCTAATTCTTCATTGACGAAATGACAATATGCTGGCTCCGCGTGGCTCTTCATTTCAATCATTGGTAATTTTGCGTCCTGGTCCACTTCAAACATTGACGACAAGGTAGCCAACGCATCCGCCAATTGATTTTCTTCTCGTGGTATGTGGTTAAATGTGATGGAATCGAAATGCTCCATTAATCCCTTGATGTAAGCCTGGTAGGGAATTAATTTCGTATCCCTAGTCTCCCATTCTCCATTCAACTGGTGGATGACCAGAGCAGAATCTCCGTATACATCTAGAGCTCTTGCCTTAGATTCGATTGCTGCTCGAATACCCATAGCACAAGCCTCATATTCTGCAATGTTATTCGTACAATTAAAACACAACCTTGCTGTCATTGGTATATACTGCTTCCCTGGAGAAACAAGCACTGCCCCTATTCCATGTCCCATCACATTCGAAGCTCCATCGAATAATACCGTCCATGCTTCTTCGTCTCGGCCTTCTCCATTCTCTTCGAGTGAAGCCATGATCTCTTCGTCGGGAAATTCAGGCTGCATTGGTTGATAATCGCTAATGGGTTGATGAGCCAGGTATTCCGCTAGAGCACTGCCCTTGACGGATTTCTGAGTAACATATACAATGTCATATTCTGACAATAGCATCTGACACCGAGCTATCCTTCCAGTGAGAGCAGGCTTTTCAAAGATAAACTTGATAGGATCCATCTTTGATATCAACCAGGTAGAGTGACTCAACATGTATTGCCTTAAGCGATGAGCAGCCCATGCCAGTGCACAACAGGTTCGCTCTAACGACGAATATCGTTGTTCGCAGTCTGTGAATTTCTTACTCAAGTAATATATTGCATGCTCTCTTTTCCCAGCTTCATCATGTTGACCTAGTACACATCCCATTGACTTCTCCAATACAGTTAAATACAAAATGAGTGGTCTTCCTGGCTCGGGTGAACGCAATACAGGTGGGTCCTGCAGGTATTGTTTGATTTTTTCAAAAGCGGCTTGACAATCCTCGTTCCAAACCACAACCTGATTTTTTCGTAGCAACTTGAACATCGATTCACAAGTAGCGGTTAATTGGGAGATGAATCTAGCAATGTAGTTCAATCTACCCAAAAACCCGCGAACCTCCTTTTCCGTTCTAGGCGTAGGCATTTCTGATATCGCTCGCACTTTATCAGGATCCACTTCTATCCCCTTTTGGCTAACCACAAAACCCAACAACTTCCCGAATTTCACTCCAAATGTGCATTTAGCGGGGTTTAACCTGAGTTTATACTTTCTCAATCTCTCAAATAATTTCTTCAAGTTGAGGATGTGTTCTTCTTCCGATTCAGACTTTGCAATCATGTCATCCACATAAATTTCGATCTCCTTGTGCATCATATCATGAAAAAGTGTCACCATCGCCCTTTGATATGTTGCCCCGGCATTCTTGAGTCCAAATGACATCACCTTATAACAAAAGGTTCCCCACAACGTGATAAAGGTTGTCTTTTCCATATCTTCTGGCGCCATCTTGATCTGGTTATATCCTGAGAAACCATCCATGAATGAAAATAGCTAAAACTTGGCTGTGTTATCAACCAAAGTGTCGATGTGTGGTAAAGGGAAATTATCTTTTGGACTTGCACGGTTCAAATCACGATAGTCAACACACATTCGAACTTTTCCATCTTTCTTAGGCACTGGTACAATGTTTGCTACCCATTGTGGGTATCTTGCCACAGCCAGAAACCCTGCATCAAATTGTTTCTGCACCTCTTCCTTGATTTTCAAGGACATTTCTGGTTTCATTCTTCTTAACTTTTGCTGGACTGGGAGGCATTCCGGCTTGAGCGGGAGCTTGTGTTGCACAATATCAGTATCCAGACCAGGCATATCATTGTACGACCAAACAAATACATCCTTAAACTCCTTCAATAAGACACGCAACTCTTCTTTCACTTCTGCTTTCATGATAGTACCAATTTTCACTTCTTTTATCTCATCTTCATCTCCCAAGTTTAATATTTCAACCTCCTCTTAATGGGGTTTTATCTCTTTAGACTCTTGTTCCACTAATTTCAAAATTCTGGAGAGGTTTCCGGATCATCTTCACAATCATCTTCCGTATTATTGATAGGGTGCTCAAAATTAGGAATATCGATATTGTTATTTTCAAAACAATCATGGTCATATCTGCATTATTTAAATTTATGGAATAAGAATAAAATGATGAAGAATGCCAAATGAACATAAACAAACACGATTCGATTATCACGCTGAGCACTAGAAATCAACCCGTAAATCCTGAATCCTAAAGCCCCGGGTAAAGCTATAGGATTAATTAAAAATTATTACATTTTATTCAAATTAAGCATCACGGGTAAATCCAGAGTTTCCCAATTGCTGAGCGGTGCATCCGAGGAGCATGCCCACACGAAACTTGATCTTTCAGATCTTTCTTCATCCACCACGGCTGCTATTTGGCCAGTGTTGAACCATCCAGCACTGCGAAAGCTCTCCTTGATGTCACAAATACGAATCTTTTCCATCTTGGGTTCACGTCTTTCTGCACGAGCCAGACTGCGCTCTCTTCTTTCTCTTATCAGCCTTTTCCTGTCCTCTTTGGTGGGCTTGTACCCTAGGCCATATCTATTTTTATTTTCCACGACCTCTAGGGGGAAGATTTGCCCCTGCCCATGCTTACCTAAACCTTTACCATGCGTATAGCCTTCTCTCAGCAAGACCTTGGCCATCATAATAGAAGCACGTGACGGATACGGATTTACTGGGAACAGCTCCACGTAGGCATTTCCTACAATCTCCAATGACTGGAAAGCTGTCTCGAGAGCTTCCTCAGCTGCCTCGATATAGCGTGTAGACGATGGGCCACTAACAAGGAGATCCTCCTCTCCTAATACTATCACCAATTTATCTCCCATGACGTATTTCAGCTTCTGGTGAAGTGTGGAAGGCACAACTCCTGCAGAATGGATCCATGGGCGACCCAACAGACAGCTATAGGCTGGGAGGATGTCCATGACTTGGAATGTCACTTGAAAGACGCATGGACCGACTTGGACCGGCAGTTCCACTTCTCCCATTACTTCTCTCTTACTGCCATCGAACGCCCTCACAATCATAGAGCTTGGCTTCATATGCATTCCATCACAGGGTAGCTTCTCCAATGTTACCTTCGGCATGACGTTCAAAGAGGAGCCATTGTCTACCAAAACACATGCTATAACATGGTCCAGGCATTTCACAGAGACATGAAGAGCCTTGTTATGCCCTCTGCCCTCAGTAGGTATCTCCTCATCGGTAAAGGTGAGGTAATTATTAGCAACGATGTTGCCAACAATGCTTTCAAACTTATTCAGAGAAATGCCTTGCTCGACATGAGCCTCACTGAGTACCTTCATCAGCAATTTTCTGTGAGAGGTAGAATGCATGAGCAATTCTAGCAACGAGATTCGAGCAGGCATGCGGTTTAGCTGTTCCACCACCTTATACTCACTTTGTTGAATGAATTTTAAAAATTCGCAGGCCTCTTCTTCGGATATTTCTTTCTTTTCCTCCTTGTTAGGGGTCTCCTCTACCTGCGCACCCTTTCTTTTTAAGGCCTCCCTGGCTTTTGCGGCCATTGTTGTTTTATTATTATTGGTTCCCTCTCTTGCCACTTTCGGTGGTGTAAAGATTCGACCACTTCTCGTCATTCCCCCAATGCCCGATATATTGTCAATGGCTGGATTTGCACCTTTTCCTTCTTCCAACGCAAATGCCCCATATCTCCAAGGGACAGCTCTCTCATTTTTGTAAGGGAAGGGGGATGGCACACTGATAACAACGGTCGATTTTTCTTCAGTCATCGGTGCAGGGGTGGTTCTAGTGAAATGTATCACCAATGGTTCCGGCAGAGTTACATCAAATTCCCCACTAGTTTGTGCAAACACTTCCTCCTCTATATCTTTGCGGCATACTTGCATCAAACTTCTGTCAAGCATGTCTTGCAGAATACCTTCTAATTCGAAACACTCTTCAATAGAGTGCTCATCATCTGGATGAAGTGCACATGAGGTACCCATGTCAAAATCACCTTTTACTAGGCCCACTTTTAACAATGCCTCGAAAATAAACCTTCTAGAACTCCTGACTTCACTCACATCTCTTATCAACTCATGTTTTTCAGCCTCGATGGCGTTTGTCGAGGTACTCCCGTGCCCGGACAATGGGTTATCCTCGATGCTAGGCTTATCTTCTTGAAACTTTAACCACCCAGAGTCGATCAGAGCCTGTACCTTATACTTGAAAGCGATACACCGCTCAATTGAATGACCAACGCCTCCTCCATGGTAAATACACTTAGCATCTGCATCATAATCCCTTGGGTATGGCGGTTGTACAGGCTTCATCGGGCAAATGGCAACCAAACCCTTTTTTATGAGTTGAGGTAATAACTCCGTGTAAGTCATAGGGACGGGAGTGAATCTAACAAATTGATTCCTTCTCGGGTTGGTGTTTTGACCTGCATTCGGATTCAGATCGGTATTTGCCCCAGTCCTCCATGCTTCATTTGGGATTCGCTGCGGTTGATAATACCCTTGTTGTTGCTGGGGTCTAGTTTGTCGGTCGAACGACGCATTAGCTGCATAGGGGAGTTGGCCCAAGTATGGTTGATAATTATGGGTGGGAGCTTGACCTCTCCACACAGGCATCATCGAGATTGCATGCACCTCCCCTTCCTTCTTCTTTCCTGGATTAAAACCGGATTTTTTTTAAGTTTGCAGCTGCGGGCGAGCCATGCACAATCTTTCCATTTTTCAACCCAATTTCTATTCTTTCGCCAATTATGATGACATCAGCAAAATTGACGGACACATTCCCCACCATATGTTCATAAAATGGCGACTGGAGAGTATTTACAAACATGGCCACCATCTCTCTATCAAACAAAGGCGGCTCAACTTGCGCGGCTAATTCTCTCCATCGTTGGGCATACTCCTTGAAAGTTTCATTATCTCTCTTTCCCATATTCTGCAATTGCAGACGGTCAGGTGCAACATGGGTGTTGTATATGTACTGTTTTACAAAGGCGTCAGCCAGATCCGCCCAACAGCGGATTCGAGATGGCTCTAAATGGGTATACCAGTTTAGGGCTACCCCAGCCAAACTATCTTGGAAAACGTGGATAAGTAGCTGGTTATCATAGGCATGTGCAGCCATCTTTCTGCAATACATAGTCAGATGACTTTTAGGGCATGTACTACCCTTATACTTCTCAAAATCTAGCGCCTTGAACTTATGTGGTATCTTCACACTAGGAGCCAAGCTTAGTCTTGCAACATCTCCAAACCCATAGCTTTCCACCCCTTCAATAGCCCTTAATCTTTCCTCCAAAGTCTCCAGCCTGCCTTTAGCTTCGTCAACGTCACTGATTACCCCATGCATCGCGGCATGCGAAGTGGCCCTAGCTGAAGAGTCATGATGAACAATCGTATGTGGCACTGTAGTCACTCGTGTTCCTTCAACTGTAACTGCTTCATTCATGTGTGTACTTACCAATGGAGCCGTCACAGAGACAGGTCCCTGAGTGACGACTGGTGGTACATCAACAGTTGTGGGAATGGGTAATGACGCATTTTCTCCTTCCAAGTACTCTCCTACGGGAGGAGTGTATCCTGGGGGTAACCCATACAATGGAAAAGGAACTGATGGGCCCACATCAGGGATTCAAGGGCAGCCAAGATTTGGCTAACCTGGTCTTTCAACTCGCTTACCTCAGCTTTGATGGATTCTTGTGACTCTTCCCAGCTTTCCATGACCCTTAAATTGGCTCGAGTCCTGTAGGGATGTCGCGGAGGATTGGCCGTTGTTTTTCTTACTTGTATTCTGTTATTATTTTTGAATTTAGATGAGAATAAGAAAACATGATGCATGCTAGTAATAGGTGGAAATCACAGGATCACGATGACGTTAATGATGGAAATTAATACAAATCGATATCATACAAACATCCCAGGTCCTTCATATAGATAAATCTGATGCATTACATTGCAGGAAGAGGACAAGACATGAACAACTTATCACTCTCTAGATCGAGCGATGAAGGCCTTCATTTCGCCTACTAACCATTTACAATGGTTAATAAAAAGTCTTATCTCTTCAGGCGGGTTACAAAAGTAGGTACTGGCTTCGGCGTCTAACACCATCTTGGGAATATCTTCAATTGCTATGTTTGCCAACATAGCCAATTGGGAAAAACTTCCCTTCCAATGCTTCACAGCCCCTTCTTGCACTACGATGTGATCTTTCATTTGCTTTACCAAGGCGTGATGCCTCTCTTCAAACTCCATTGACCTCCATCGTTCCTCTTGCTCCTCAATGTACTCCTCCATTTGTTTTATCAAGGTTCGATGCTCTTCTTCTGCTTCTGCTAGCTTCCAACGTTCTTGGTTCATATCTGTCTCAAAAGACAAGGCCATTTCCTTCATTTCGTGCCCCGCTTTTTCTACCTGAACCTGTGCTTCTCTTAGCCTTTTTAGGGCCTCTCGCTTATCTCTTTTAGCTTCTTCGTAGAGTTCCCTCCACTGTTTTCCCTCTTCTAATGCTGCATTCTTCTCCTTCACTCTCATGGCCAACTCTTTGTTTGCGGCTGCAAGATCTTGCTTCAATCGGAATGCACGATCTCTTTCGGCCTTTTTCATTTCCTCGTAGGCTCGCGATTTATCCTCTTTATCATTCCTCATGTCCACAAAATCGTTGCGCCCCTCTCATGGGATGTCCGAATTGCCTTTGGACTAGAACAGGGTTATAATTGACACAATATCGGGCACCTATGAGGGGTACATTGGGAAAGCTGCCACAATGATGGATGAAGGGTTTAAACTCTAGCCAAGGAAGACGCCACTTTACATTTTCCCCATTCAAGCCAGCAAAGAAATAGGCCCACTCATTTCCTCCTCTGTCTTTGAGCTTTTGGTGCGACAGGCCTTTCGACGGACAACTAGCATCGACCACCCCCTTACATACACGTGCAGTCATCCACGCATACAGCACCGGCAAACAACAAAGAATTTTCTTCCCGTTTCTTTCATGACAAAAACTCATGGTCCCATAAACATCTGCGAGAACTACTGTTACAGGGTTCTCTGATCTTGTCTTTTTCGCTACGAAGACGTCTATTGCGGAATAATCCACAAAATCTTCTACTTTGGGAAATAAAACGACGCCATACACAGTAAGGGCTAACACATCCATGAAAGTCTCCCACTCTTCTCTATCAGCTAAATGATGCAAGTA